ATCGCGGCGGGGGGGCGGGCGCTCCTAGCGCTCTCGGGGCGGAGTCGGCGTCAAAAGAGGCGGGATTTTTTGGGTGGCGGCGCTTGTCATTGGATGCCCGGGCGAGGTTCTTTCTTTCAGAATGAAAGGGAGGCGGGGTCTGCGAGGAGGCGGAGCTACCGCCGGCCCCTGCCAATTATAATTGCTCTGAGGACATGTCAATCATGGTGTAAGGGCTTGGAATTGGGGGTTTCGCGGCATGGGGCGTGGCTAGAAGTGCCAGGTGTACAGAAAGAGTCTCCCTAGGTTCCCAGGTTGGATCAGCCTGTAAGACTGGCAGCCTCTTGTACCAAAGTGGGACGTGGCCCTAAAGTTTTGGAAATACGAATAAGAGATCCAACTATTTTTGTTATATGTAGGAAGAAAGCTGTTCCTAAGCCATTTTCCTTCCAGAAACAATGGAGTGGGGGGATGGGCCATTTCAAACAAAGGTACTTTTTAGAGTTGCGTGGCTTCCGGGTGGCTTTCCTAAAAGCTGGTCAATCATCAAAACCACTCTGAGCTACTCGAAAAAATTTTATATAGAATAGTGATTGAGAGAATGGGGTTTAGAGTTGCTGGGCCGGGTTTAAATTCTCCACTCAGCAAGTTACTAGTTGTACTGGTTGCATAATGTAAGCACTAACCCGTTTTAGCGACTACCTGTCATGGTTGTGGAGATACAAACTGAGAACATGAACTTGTAAAACACTTAGCACAATGCCTCGCTGAAAATAAATTCTTGATAAATGTCAGCTGGTCTTATGAGATTCTTAACTGTCCCAAGTCTGTTGAATCAGAAAACTAGGAGGATGTTCCTTAAGATCTTCAGGAGATGGGTTAGATTTGGGAACCAAGGTCTTAAAAGATCATCCAGTCCCTGACCCGCCTTCTCTCCGAGATACAGGTGAATAAAATATGATGAAGACTAACAGAAAAACCACTGACCCCGTGTCACGAAAGGGCGAGCTGAAATTCTACTCTTTTACTAACTATATCCTGCTAGTTAGAGAGAGGTATGGTCGATAGAAAAAAAATAGTGGAAGCGATTTTATTAAACACTATAAATAATCTTTACATAATCTCAAAAACTTCTGGAGAGGAATCTGAAGATATTGTAGGAGAGATTCAGGCTTCACATTGAGAAGCTTATTCATCCACAGGGAGCTAGATTGCTTAAATCACCAGGCAAAATAGAAACTAAAGGAGTCATTATTTTCTGTCAGAGAACCCAGATAGTTAAGGATTTTTTTTTTCTTTTCAGTTCTGGGGATGGAACCCAAGGCCTTCACATCAAGTTACATCCTCAGGCCTTTTATTTTTTACTTTTAAATTGCCCAAGCTGAGTTTGAGCTTGCAATCCTCCTACCTCAGCCTCTCAGAGTGCTGAGATTACAGGTGTATAACACCACCCCAGCTAGTATTCAAGAATTTAAATCAGAGATCTAAACTCCCTAACAACCATGTTGAGTGCCCATGATTTGTTGCATTTGTTATTTGCTACATTTATGGCATGAATTTGCAGCATTGTATCTGATTTATTGCACTCAATGTAGTTGTAAGAATTATTGGGTTGTCAGCTATGTCATTGGTTTATTTTTTGTATTGATGAATCATAGTGTCCATTGTATGAATATATTTACCTTTTCTGTTGTTGATGTACATTTGAGATGTTCCATAAGTTTTTTTTAATTTTTCTTTTTATGTCCCCTTTCCTTCCATTCTCTTCCAGTTGGATTGTCCCCTACCTTCCTTCCATCTTTTTTCCCCTGTTGTCTCACTTTTATTTTACTCTTTATTTGTATTTTCGGTGTGTTCTATAAAGAAACCACATGGTATGTAAGCTTTTGTGTTATTTCACTTAACATTATGGTATATCAAGGTGCATCTATTTTCCCACTGATGACTCAAGTTTATTCTTCTTTATGGAAGAGTCATATTCTACTGCATGTAAATACTACATTTTTTATCCTTTTATCTGTTGATGGACATATAGACCATTTTCAAGATTTAGCTATTGTGAATTGTGCTGCTATAAACATGGCTATGCATATATCACTGTAATATGATGCTTTTAACTCTTTTGGGAAGATACCTAGAAGAGTAATACCTGGATTGAATGGAATTTCTTGTTTTAATTTTTTAGGCATCTCCACACTGATTTCCACAGTGGTTGTACATTTCCACCAACAATGAAGAGGTCTTCCCCCCAGTCCCTGAAGCCTTGCTAGCATTTATTGTTATCTGATTTCCTGATGATGGCCATTCTTTCTGGAATAAGATGAAATCTCAGTGTTGTTTCCAATTGCATTTCTCCAATGGCCAGAAATGTTGGAATTTTTTTCATATTTATTCGCCCTTTGTATTTCTTCTTCTGAGAAGTATCTGTTCATTTCAGTTGCCCATTGGAGAGTCTTTTATTTTGGGGAAGTCTATTTTCTAAGTTCTTTATATATTCTAGATATTAGTTCTCCATCTGAGGAATAGCTGGATATTTTTTTCCGCAATCTGTAGGCTGTCTCTTCACTCTGTTGGTTGTTTCCTTCGGTGGGTAGAAATTTTTTAAATTTGATATGATAACATTTGATGATTCTTGGTGTTATTTCTTATATTATTAGGGTTCTGTTCAAAAGTCCTTGCCCATACCTATGTCTTCAAGAGTTTTACCTATTTTATCTTCCAGCAGATTAAGTGTTTCTCTTTTATTATTTAGGTCTTTGACCTATGGTACATGGTGAGAGATATGGGCCCAAATTCATTCTCCAACATGTGGATCATCAGTTTTCTCAGTACATTTGTTAAAGAATGTTTTTGGCCCCTTTGTCAAAGATCAGGTAGCTGAATGTGCTTAGAGTTGTTTGTACATCCTCTATTTTTTTCTGTTGATTCGATTGTCTGTTTTTTATTTGCTTGTTTGCCAAACCATGCTGTTTTTATCACTGTAGCCTCATAGTACACCTTGAAGTCCAGAATTGTGATTTCTCCTGTCTTGCCCTTGTTATCCAAAAGATTGCTTTTGCTATTCTAGTTCTCTGGTTCCATAAAAATTTTAGGATTGTTTTCTCTAGGAATGCTATTGGTGTTTTGATTGGGGTAGGGTTAAATCTGTATATCAGATTTTTAATATGGCCATCTTGACTATATTGGTTGTGTCTAGGGTATCTTTACATTTTCTGAGGTCCTCTTTGATCTCCTTTTTCAAAGTATTATAGTTAGGTTAGGTTAATTCCTAGGTATTTAATTTGTCTTGATGCCATTGTGAAAGGTATTGTTTCTCTAATTTCTTGCTTGGTGAGTTTATTATTCATGTGCAGGAGTGCTATTGATATTTACGTGTTGACTTTGTTATAAATTCTAGAAATCTTTTGGTGAAATTTTTTGGATCTTCTATTAACAGACCATGTCATCTGCAAATAACGATAATCTGAATTCTTCCTTTCCTATACATATCCCTTTTATTTGTTTCTCTTGCCTGATTGTTCTGCTAATATTTCCAGAACTATATTGAACAGGAATGGTGATCGTGGACATCTTTGTCTAGTTGTTAATTTTAGAGGGAAAGCTTTCAAATTCCTCCTATTTAATATGATGTTGGCCACTGGTTTGTGGTTTGTCATAAACAGCCTCTGGGTTTGTGAGAGCCGTGGCGATATTCGCACTGAGTTGTGTTCTCGCTTACTTTGGTGGACAAGGAACACAGCCAGACCTCAGATCTGTACTGGATGTTGGCTGCAGGGCACAGGCTCAAGCTTAATGCCAGCAGGAACTTTCAAACCCAGCTGCTTTTAAGTGCAACTCAAGCTTGGCTTCTCTCTGCAGGGTATGGGGCACGTGTCCTACCTGGCCTGAGTTTAAAGTTCTCAGGGGTCTCTTTCCAGCCTTCTCCCTGTCTATGTCTGTCCCTATTCTGGTCACTGTGGGAGGGTAACACTAGGAGCCCCGAAGTGACACTGTTTGTTAATTTTCTGAGTCCCAGATTTAAATAATCAACCCCTTCCTGAAATGCCACCTAACCAAGCACTCTCTGGCAATATGGGGGTACCCACGCTTGAATCCCTCTCTGATTGTTGCCTGTTATATGGAAGGGCTAGCCTCATTTCTGTAGTTCACAAAGGCAGTAGGCTCTGCTGTGGTTTCTCCTGGGATCTCACATCCCTAGGGGCTTATCTTGCTTCTGGGGTACCTGATTCTCCTCCCCAGGAGTCACAGGAGCTGGGGAAAAAGTTAAAAAAAAGTGTCCTTCTTTTCTCTGTGTAGTGGGCCATCTTTCCAACTTCTCTGTAGCTTCTACTTTTTTGAGGCAGTTACTCCCTGATTCCTGGTGACCTGCTTCTCTTTTTTTCTTCAACAAGTTGTTAACTTTACATTGTCTGGATTCTAGATCCCAGAGAGGCTAAATTTTGCTACTGATCACTATTCTGCGATTTTCTTTCTCCTCAGAATTGGAGTATCTTGAGTCAACATGTTATCCAGTACTTTACAATCTTTGACAAATGATTAAAAAGAAAGTCTGTGTCTTTGTGAAAATGGCCTCCCACAGAATGCTTTTATAACAGAAGTGAAGAAGTATAAAAACTTCTAAGGCAGAAAATAGGGAAATTTGAAAAAAGAGAAAACTGTAGAAGTTAGAGCAGAGCTTGTCTCAATTTAAAAAAAATTAAGAAATAATTCACA